TAATTTCATTCAAGTTAAAAACGACATAGCTATCATGATGATGCCGTGCAACAATGATCAGCAGTTGAAACAAATTCGGGGAAATAACCAATTTCGCTCGCATTTCTATTTCTCTTGTTTTTTATTCTTTGATTAAAAAAAAAATCAATAGGTTTCTAATCTCTAGTGAAAATACCCGTTTATAGATTGTTTTTATAGTCGGGTATTTTCATAGATTTATATGGTCTCTTGTGTAAAGTTTATTGATAATCAAAAAGGAAACAAATATAGTGATTGTTAATTTACCCGGCAAGCAGACAATGTCTAGATCAAGAAAAGAATTAAAGAAATTTTTTTGTATCTAGAAACGCTTCTTAAACTATGGGTCGCAAGCCCAAATGGGGCCGTGAAGCTGAATGCTGGGGTGGCGAAAATTAAATTCAAACGCTTGAATTTCAGTTTCTATGTTATTTCCCAAACGCACAATATTTAAGAAAATACGATGAGTCATTTCACCAAATTGGCTTTACTCTTAATAATGGCGGTGGTATGGAACAAACTCTTGGTTTAATTTGCAATAATTTGATTTTGTCCGTGGGGAGTATGAAATCCTCAAAATTAAAAAAGCTTCTTGAATCCAAACATAACTCATACGTCAATAAATCAAAATGTAACACCATTATTCGATGCAGGGACGAAATATAGTATTATAAATGCGCACGATAGATCCTGCCGAGAATAATTGTCTAGAAGAGCGCTTCTTAAACTATGGAAATGCAGGGGTGTCGAAAATTAAATTCAAACACTTGAATTTCATTTTCTATGTTATTTCCCAAATGCAAAATATTTAACGTGATGCGCCACTCAATCGTTGCGGTAATAAAACGCGCATGTGACGCCATTGCGAGAAGAGCAGTGACAATCGATGTATTTTTAGTGTAGTTGGTTGATCGTGTTCACCTTAATAAGGGTATAAATAACAATATATATATTACTGTTTTATTCGACTAAGGTTGGTATTTATTTAAATAATTTCATAATAATTATTTTATGAAACGTTATGTTATTTATATCTTAGAATAAAAATATTTTTACTCATGGATAAATGGCTGAACTTGAGTAACAAAGATGGCAATGCTATCAAGTCTGTTTAAGCAGGACTTAGTAATCAAATAGAGGCACCAAAAATGCGGAAAAGAAAATACGATGAGTCATTTCACCAAAATTGGTTTTAATTTTAATAATAGCGATGGTATGGAACAAACTCTTCGTTTAATTTGTAATAACCTTTTGTCGGTGGAGAATATAAAACACTCAAAATTAAAAAGACATCTTGAATCCAAATATCCCTCATACGTCAATAAACCAAAGATATATTTTTAAAGACTGTTAAGATCTTCAAATATAGAGTGTATACTATATACTGTATATTATTCATTCCCGCTGTCATATTCTTTTCCTTAGTGTCGTTTGAAGACGTGGGCGAACATGATTGTCTAAATATCCCTATCCTCTGTGGCTCTTAGTAAATGTTGTCTTTATGCCATCTCACCTGCCTTTGTTCTGATTTTAGTATTATTATATAAGAGAGCTATCAGTCATTTCTTTAACAGAAAGACACAAAAGGGTGAATACTTGTAGAATTTAGTATATCCTCTTTAAAAAGAGATATGCAATAGAAATTCCATTCGTGAGATGAATAGTAATTTAGTAATTTTTAGCCAGAAGTATGTAAATGTAGTTTTTTTTTTATTACGCAAAAGCAATTGGTAAGATAGAACACAAAGATCTATTTGAACAATTAGTAAAACTAGACCTATTCGTAAAGGGTGTTCGACTCATCCTGCGATTTCTCTGGGAGCAAAATCGCCTGCATACGGATAGAAAATAAATTGAGTATATACGCAAAGACAAGAATGCATCATCTCCCCAGATTTATTTAACCTCTACGGCGAGACTATCCTAAGAGAGTTAGAAACCCTAGCGAGATTTATCATCTGCGTAACCTTACAAATCTAAGATATGAAGATGACACTGAGTTGCTGGTTTTCACGGAAAGATAATGTTATACTGGAACTATTGTTAATAGACTCTCCCACCTATAATAAGTAGTAGTAGTAGTAGCAGTCGCTAAGGGCGCAGGGAGTTGGTCGATGTCAGACATTAAAGTATCAGCCACCACAACTAGATTGCTGCGCCCTTAACTCTTATATCAAGTTCCTAACGTTATGTTTCGTCGAACTCTTTTAGGACCGATTAGTGAAATACAAGCCTCCACTGTGAAACTACTCTATAAGAGAAAACAAATGTACCCCCTAGAAGGGGTATTAACAGAAAGCTAGGAAAAAAAAAAAGGAAAGATAATACAAAATATGATCACCAGAAAGAGAAAAAAGCCCAAGATTACGAGTTAAAAATTAGAGATATCAACATCAAAGAGCTTCATGACGTTTCAATATCTGGGAAATGTTTTAACAGAGGACGAAAAATACGACACCAAAATCAGTCGACTAGATTAGCTAAAGATACATCCCAAAAACTAATCAAAGTGTCGTAAAACAGAAAAAAAAATCATTATAAACAAAGATGCTGGATTTCTATATGATATCTATCCTCTTGTATGTCAGTGAATGTTGAAAATTTGCTACGTAGATGAAGAAGAATTGGATGTAACAGAAATGTGGTTCCACTGACGAATATTGAAAATGCCATGGACGGAGCGGATAAGCAACGAGTCAAACTTAAAGAAACTGACAGCAATAAGTTATACTCAGAATCAGAAAAAGACTGCTGAAATTTCTTGGAGATATAACGAGGAAGAGAGGCATTGAAAACTTAACCCTCACAAGGCATACTGAGAGCAACAGAGAGAGAAGGGAAGTCAGCGAACCGCTTACATGACGAACCTTAGCGAATGAAAGGGTGTCAGGATGCTTAGCAAAGGGCGAAAAACTGCTAAGAGCTTCAAGAGATAGAAAGTCTGGAAAAGCCATGGTCGCCAACGTCTTGAATGGACGCGACACGTGGAAAAAAAGATTCATACACATTCGTAATTAACATACCTAAGTAGAAACAATTACCAAAACAGAAAAGAAAAGGTCTCTTATGCGAGACTAGAAAGTGATCCCTGCAATAATTAATATTTACAAGAGTCATATTGGGCCAAAAATGATGTATCGTTGCTATATCTTGGCTGTAGCTGCCAGTTCACACTGTCCAACTACGACAAAGATCAAACGCATTTACGGACGAATAAGCATTTTCAACATACAACCACTTCATCCCCAGATGAAGTGTTGCTAGTCTCTCGTTATTCTACATATCTTCTAGCCAGTTGTTCGAACGGCCTACGCTCCTTAGTTATACCGATACAGGCATTTACAGCTGTAACCCACATGTTCGGCTCATCCTAAAACCCTTTGTGTCCCATTGGTAAGGAGGAAATTTCACTCGGGCATCTTCTTACCCAAAATAAAGCCCGGCAATGACGCTCCTCTGACCACTGCGACATCAAATTATTCAAATCTAGCGCTGTCGTGAATCCGAAATAAAAATAACAGTTCTTCACTGTTTTCAAATTTGTGAGCCTACTGGAGAATTTATTTGACCAATAGAAAAAGGCATTGACTCCAGGCTGAAGAAAAGAACAGGGCAAATTTTAAGGAGCCATTGTGAAAATTTATTTTGACCAATAGAAAAGGGAGAGGCTTACAAACTGAGAAATCGCTGTTTGATATGAATAAGCAGAGAAAGTTGAATCAAGGCAGAGAAAGAAAAAGCAGAAAGAAGCAGAAGACATAGTTCCAGGCGTCTGAATAACGCCTGTGTCAAAATACAGGCTCTAATGAAAGAAGGGCAATTTCAAAGAACCCTTTTCAAGTCTAAAGCTAAGTACCTTAAATTATATCTTTTCATTCATGTTGAATATAACCGTATAACTTTTACGCGAAAATCGATCACTCTCAATTTGTTTTGAACATTTTCGAATATTATTTTGTATCTGGTAATTTAATATGAACATTTTCTCTTTTTGATAATTCATCAAGACTAAGAACCTTAAATGTTTGATTCCTTTTCTTGAAACAAGCTACTGACAACTTCAAATTTTGTTAAATATAAGACATGAGTTTGCTCGTCATTATCCCTCAATGCTTCAGGGACAACCATTATCTACCATAAATAGCCTCATCATACGCACTTCGTCCGTTATTTACGCACTTACACTAACCTATTTCGGTAATCCTCTAGCTTGAGTGACTTTTAAGCCTTGTATTAGGTGAAGAATAGTATAAAATTACACGAGAAAGATAGACACCGACAGGAAAATATATAGGTAAATAAGCAAACTAAAGTAGAAATATATTAGCAGATGAAAAAAAATTTATAAACGTGAATAGACATGGATTAATTGATAGAGATAGTGTTGTGGGGCTCTCCCCTTTTTACATAAGATGGACTCGTCTAAAGTATTCTTATACTGACAGAGAGAATACCTGCTGTTGAGATACGCCGAGATACAGTCTCGACGTCAGTGGAACTCTCTGCTTTGGCAGAGAGGAACCCGGACGAAGCTTTGCCGAAGGGCAAGGTTTCGTCCGGGGAGGTAGACAAGCCCTGAACCCGTCTAGGCGGGTTCAAAAGGTATATTTTTGGCCGAGCCTACGGGCTCGGAGAAACCCACTTTAAACTCGGCCTTGTGCCACATATATTCCTCGTGAGTGGGATATTAAATGCCGAGGTACGTTGAGATACAGTCTCGACATCTGTCGAACTCTCTGCTTTGACGGAGAGGAACCCGAACGAACCTTTGCTGAAGGGCAAGGTTTCGTCCGGGGAGGTAGACAGGCCCTGAACCCGTCTAGGCGGGTTCAAAGGGGATATTTTTGGCCGAACCTACGGGATTGGAGAAACCCACTTTAAACACGGCCTTGTGCCACATATATTCCTCGTGGGTGGGATATTAAATACCGAGATACGTTGAGATACGTGGAGATACGTTGAGATACGTTGAGACAGGTTGAGAGATACGGAAACAGACACAGGGTGTTCTCATAGAGTTATACAAGAGTGCAGAGAGAGAGAGAGATGATTACGGCTTTACTTACAGAGATTTGTACATATACTTTCTACTAACCCGCATTCCTGGACTACTAATCTTCACTTCAAGTCTGTATTCTTACGTTAATACATTTATTTTTCTATCGCAATTTCTGGGGTTGTTTATTTATTTTTTGCAGGATTCCATTCCCGGAATACACAACAGATAGATTGGAAGCAAGCATTTTTGCTTTTAATGTCATGAGACTTCTGGTCGTAGGTGGTCATGGCTCTGTTATTTATTCTATGTGGATTGTGATGCCTGTTTGAAAAAGATACTGGAGTCTTATCCATTCACCTCCTCCATCGTTTAGAATTCAAAACTGTCTTGAACTACTATACTGCCACTCCAAATATCTCATTACGTTAATGAAATAGAGGATTCAAACAAAACTTTCCAATGAATATATTTTCACACAACAGAATTTCTTTCCTAATATATTTCTTCATTTTATTTGCGTGTCGTGCTTATTTCTTCTTCCGACGATATATGCAAAAATTTAATTATTTTCCCTTCGACTATGAGCTTACTGTCTTGAGTAAAAATGTGTCAGTATTCAACAAATGCAAACTTTCAACCAAATTAATGGAGGTAAGTAAATCTTCGCTATCTTCAAACAAAACTGTGTCTGTACGCTTCGGTATGTCTGGAAATTGCACACATATGCAAAAAAAAAAAAAAAAAAAAGACAGAAAAATAGGATACACATTTTTTCACCATAAATCGTCACTTGTCTAATGACAGGATCGATAATATGTGTTAACGCAAAAAATCAAAATGTTGTGGGGGAAAGACTATCATATCGCTTTCTCTTTTCTCATTAGATATATATAATAATAGAAACACCTTATTACCACAGCACTTAAGATTTCAATAGTAAACGCCTTAAATTGTTTGCAAATATCTCCAACTCATGCTTATACGGATAATCAGCATCATCCAATAACTGCTACTTCAATTTAAACTCTTTGTCTTCTAGAGATGATATAGTCTTATACCCACTGCTGCACGACATGATGTTTCCAGAAGTCATTTAGCACAATATATTTCATTCAAGGGATTTTACGTCAAAGAAAGTGTAACTATATTTTAGACTTTAAAATGAACCGGAGACCCAATCCTCAACAGGAATCGGACGATAGGCAAACGTACATATATATTCCTATTCAGTAAAAAATTAAGATAAAAGTGTTATAGGGTGAGCCGTTGCATAGAAGAAACAGGGATGAAAAAATAGGAGTAAAAATAAAATAAAATGACAGTAAGAAGGTCATTGTTTTCCAGGGAGGGAATTGAGATCATGTATATGCATTTTGTTATGGAACTGAAGAATATGTCTGCTCATTAATAGCTATTAATTTGCTGTAAAACCTATCACCCAATAATCGAGCAGATAATTGATTTAAAAGTTTTAAGAAGCCCGACTAAGAGACTGGTGACTAAGTGATATATTTAACGAATGTTAAAGATTCCAAGAGATAGTGTTGTCTTATATCAGATATAAGCGTCAAACGCAGAAAAAAAATCAAAACAGACAAAAAAAAAAAAAACATGTATTGTCTATTGGATTGCTTTACAGCCAGGTTTCGACACACAAGGAGGAATGCAAAAAATTCCCAGATGTCACATCCGAAGTTTTACGTCAGCCGATAGTCGATATCAACGTCTAAAGACAGAAAACAAAAGATAGATAGATAGATAGATAGAGAGAGAGAGAGAGAGAGAGCGCGAGCGGGAAAGGGAGATGCAAGGCATTCGCCAGGATCTGTGCAGGTCGATCACAAGTCATGAACTTCGCCCAAAGCGGATGAACGTAGAACTTGCTTTATAGATCCACATAAGAAAACGCCAGTAGTCGTTAGACAAATATCCACCATATTGACTCTCGTAAAAGGTGAGGGTGACGCAATTTCCAATTACATGTACACATCCCGCGGGGGAGCCTCGTGAATGAAAACAGATTTGCGTGGAATACATGGAAGTGATTGGTTTTCGATCCCGAGGTATAACCTACCACTTTTCCTTTAAACGTATATATATATATATATATATATATATATATATATATATATATATATATATATATATGTGTGTGTGTGTGTGTGTATTTGTGCGTGTATATGTATGTATTGTCACCTCTGAAGATGCGGTCTCTTTTATCTTTTGCATCTTTTTTTTCACCTATATGTAAATAACTCACTAGCGTTTCTTTCCCTTTCTCGCTTGTTGTCTGGTTCGTTTTATTTAACTGTCAATTGATTTCTCTTTGTAATAGCATTATTCACTTGTTTACCCACCTTGACAGCATGTGGTGCAAAAGTGAAGATAAAAAAATATATAAGAAAACAAGCAATTGGGGGGAAATTATTTCGGTAGAAAACGAGTTTATGCATATGACCAAAATAAACTTGCAAATATGAAGGAAAACAATAATAATTTAGTGGGCTTTATCTAGATATCCACTGATATTAATTGCAATTTATCAACACTCTCCCCCCCTCTCTCTCTCTCTCTCTCTCTATATATATATATATATATATATATATATATATATATATATATATCCAGGTTAGATAGAACGAACAGATCTTTATATGAACCATGTTTCTTGTATTTACATGAAAAAATTAGAAGATTTCCTTATTAAATCAAAGGAGTGAATTAACGGTAAATTGTAGACATAATCTACATTTACCTTACAATTTATTTAAACTTTGGAATTTGATAATGATTGTCTTATAATTTAGTTGAACTGCGTTGCACCATATATATCCTAATATATATAATATATATAATATAATAATATATATATATATATATATATCATAATATATATATATATATATATATATATATATATATATATATATATATATATATATATTATAGTAAAAAAGAAAGCATCTAAAATACCATAGCGTCTCCCAAAAAAGCACATTTGAAAGGAAAGACACACTGAAAAGAAGAGGACTCAAGGCCATAATTGCAGAGTAAAATATAAAAATCATAACTTGTTTGTATAGGGGATCATTGCATCCTGCTGCATGGATGAGGTCTTGTGAGGTGATGGCTATGTTGTCGAAGATCTCAAATGCAGCCGTTAAAGCAGTCGATGTCATGACATTGTTTATTTTATCAGACTCTAGAATGTCTGATTGAGTGGATTGGATAGGAGGGCTTGTTCGGTGATTTTACCACCAATGATAAATTTTACTGGCAGTCAACCTCAATGAACGAGGGTGAAACCTCCCACAGCACAAACTATTTTCTCTGATGGGATCAGGTTGCAGTTCGTGAGTCCCATCTTTACTAAATGCTTTGGTCCAGGTCTGACTAAACAGTTAAAAGTTTTTTATAGTGGATATTCGTATTTGAATAAACGCTCTGCTTAATATTAAAAAGTATATTTTTGACTAAAAATAACGTTTAAATTGAAAAAGCTGTCGAATTAAGAAATAGGAATATATTATATATATATATATATATATATATATATATATATATATATATATATATATATATGATATACGTCAATTTTGATAAAAATAAGCTGGCATAATGCTTGTAATTTATTCAATCAGACATGATTAAAAGAGAATTTCCTGCCTAAATTTACTCCCCCATATATATATATATATATATATATATATATATATATATATATATATATATATATATATATATTATAGTAAAAAAGAAATGAAAGAACACTAAGATATATAATCCGATGTTCCTATTGATATTATTTTTACCAAACATTGCTCAATGTAAATTTGAAGAGCATAAATATAACCTCTTTTTCGAACGTAACTCATAATTGATACAATAATAGTTAATAAAAATGAACACTCTAACGCCCCTGTCTGAATGATTAGATTTCTCTGTATCCTTGGAAACAAAAAAATATGGATGCATGTGCTTTTAAAACTAAGGGATATTTAAAATGAGTTATTGAAGATGAAAGCGAACTAATGCTTTTAATTTAATTATATAATTAAATTTGAAGCTTTTTAGCTTCGGTTTTTAAACATGGTAATTCCTGTGAAGCGAAGGAACCATATTGTGTGTGTGTGTGTGTGTGTGTGTGTGTGTGTGTGTGTGTGTGTGTGTGTGTGTGTGTGTGTGTGAGGAAGTGGTTCATTTTATATATACCACACGGGTAAAATATAGGAAAAGATTTTGAAAATGCAACTATAGGTTTTAAGAATATTTATTTAGAGTTATTTTACAGATTTCACAGTTTTGCTATTTTCAAAAGTTACATTGGGATGCAGATTCATGTAGCTATGCCATATGGCGTGTGAGATTGATAGTCACTACGTTATTGATTCCTTTGTCCACATGATATATATATATATATATATATATATATATATATATATATATATATATATATATATATATATATAAAGGCTTCCTATTATCCTGTACTAATTCCACCTCAGCCATAAATATAACAAATTTTAGATCATTTTTGTTAGCATATGTATCTAGCACATTTAGACCGATTGTCTGCAAATAACACATTTTCTGCTGTGGCTTTCTGGATATTAAAGACAAATCCTAAGACCATTTATTGAATAAATGCTTGTTAATTATATTAGGTTTTGCGTGGAACTACTTTCTTTTATTTAATTAGCAGCCGTGCTAACAGAAACCATACTAAGCTTTCATTTGCATCAGATGTTATTACTTTGCTTCGTTTTACCTGGTTTTAAGCGGGAAGGCACATCTCACCACCGCCAAGTGAACGCCACCAGAAAAAAACAAAAAAAAACAACTTTTTTTATAAACAAATAAAAGCAATTTATTAAGGATTAAAATCGTAATTCGTGAATATTTTTCTTCAAATAAGGCATTGAAAAGTCAATATTTAAAATATGAACAAACTTTTTTGTTTTTAGTAAAGAGTAAAGTAAATCGTAAATCATTAAATTACTATCGTAATGTAATTTATTAAAAAATAAATTACATTACGATTTACTTTATTATAAATAATTGAAAAAAAAACTGCTTCATTTTGTTTTATACTTTTCGATTTATTTTATTAAAAAAATAATTAAAAACAAGTGTGTTTTATTGAGTTATTTTTTATATGCCAATTATTATTACTTTATTAAAAAAAATTAACTTCTTTATAATTTACTGTATTAAATATAATTATAAACAAAATCTGGTTTATATTTTTCCATGATACCTTTTCAAATGCCTTATTTGAAGATTAATATTCACTAATTAAGGTTTTAATACTTAATAAATTACATTTATTCGGTTATAAAAAAAGTTGTTTATCTGGTGTTCAGTCGTCTCGGTCCGAATTGTCCCGGCGCTTAGTCGGCGGTCTTCAGTCAGCCATGTTGAGTTGTCATGTACTCTGTTTTAAGGGAGACAAACGCTGCGAACAAATCTCATTGTAGATTGATTTGGTAGTTAACCAATTGATATTTTAATAGTATCGGGTTCTTTAGGCGTTTACGAATGCAATTCGGTAACTAAAACATCGAATCTATGATTTACTTTCTGTCTTTATTTGCTCTGCTAGAAACCACGTATGCGTTGAATTCATTAGATGGACCCCATCAAAATATAACGTCGAAAAGTATAGTTGTGTCCTTCACCCAGCGACATATTCTACAAGCAAAAAGGATTATAAAGCAGATGTAGAGATAGATATTTAGGGTTGTTTTTTGCTGTATTCGGTGCTAGGTAATACGTACATTTAAAGAAATATGCTAAATAACATCTTGTATCTTTTTAGGTATAATTGAGGCCACTCATAGGCTAAATCTATACGCAATCCTACGACCGTAGAATATAATTTTCATTCAAAGAGTAACCTCGATATAGCCTCACTCCCTAATGATATAATTTACCCAAAATACTCATGTTTAGTACTACTACAATTACCACCACTATTAGAGATGATGATAATGATAATAATAATAATAAATAGAAATCTCGAAAATATGTCATATGGGAACATCAACAATCCCTGTTGTAGTTGGAGCCCTAGGATTGGTTGGAAAAGATTCCAGTAGACTAATTGAAGGGATTCCTGGAAGTCCATGCCTCAAGGAGATAAAAAATTGTTCTGACAAGTAAAGCCCACACTTTACGAAGGGCTTTATCTATGTAATTTTTTTCTTTTCTTTTTTTTTTGTGTCAGTGGAAAGTATCATTCTAACCTTAGGTCTCTGGGCGGGACCCGGAAAGAAATGAGTAGACGCCAGAAATCAAAGAAAATAAAAATAAAAATAAAAATAATAATAATAATGACTAGTAGCTCCCGTAAAAATATTAAGGTTTCCCTTTCGAATTTTTTGGAAGTGTTGTAAAATATTGAACGAGTTAAATCAATTATATTTTTAATTATTACTAGTATACGTCTTTTTAGAGATTTTAATTTTTTCTGGAAGTCTTGTAAAATATTGTTAAATCAATTATTGTGTTTATTATTATTATCATTTTTATTTTCTTTGATTTCTGGCGTTTACACATTTCTTTCCGGTTCCCGCCCAGGGACCTAAGGTTAGAAATGGCGTCATGACACTTTCCACTGACAAAAAAAAAAAAAAAAAAAGAAAAAAAAATTACATAGATAAAGCCCTTCGTAAGGTGTGGGCTGTACTTGTCAGAACAATTTTTGTATCTCCTTGAGGCATGGACTTCCAGGAATCCCTTCAATTAGTCTACTGCAATCTTTTTCCAACCAGTCCTAGGGCTCCAACTACAACAGGGATTGTTGATGTTCCCATATGCCACATTTTCGAGATTTCTATTTCAAGGTCC